GTCACACGTATTCACTAACCAAGTCCCCGAACTCAACCAGCAACAAAGGTAACACATATTTTTCTCCTTCAGTGCGACTTTTCACTGAATCTTAAATTTAATTAGTTTCCTTCGACACTAGAGCTAATTCAAGAAAAATCAAAAACGTAAAACTGGTATTAAATATTAAGAAGTCTTCAAAATATACGAAAGGACAAGGAGATACATTAAAAGGTTTATGCCCTAAGATATGCCCAGATGACCTTCAGCATAACTTGACAGATTTCTTTTATTTAAATTTAAATTATCAACATTTTACTGTTCTCTTATAATTCTGGGACGACTATACCAAACTCCCATTCGGCGGCGACGGACGGGCTTAACTTTGTCCCGCCTCAGTTAATTTAGATTTAATCTGGGCTTTTCTTAACCTTTGTCGTATCCGTTCACCGAGAATCGATGAGCTCTGCTTGCGAGAAGCCAACGTTAATGACTTCCCCGATGTTTCAGACGGCAACGTATTAGTTTTGGCGAAACGATACAGCAACGGAGGAGCCGTTATATTAAATTGTCAGTATATAACAACTAACGGGCAAATTGAGAAAAGGATTTTCGTTCCAAGGGAGGCGAGCGAGTGAAGGGCAAAAAGAAAGCGATTCTCATTAAATCGAAGTCGAGACAAATGGAACGCATTTTTCGCAGGACGCAGAGAGGGAATCGATTTTTTTCCAATAAAAATTAAACACAAATGTAAAAGAACATTTCTCAACATTTTTTTAATTTCAGCAAATCATTATCTTCCTTCTGCTTAATAACAGCCGAGAGAAAATAACTATAATTGTTTTTCCGTCATAATTTTAGAAATTGAGAAAAGTAGCACTGGCAAAGTCTCAACCGAAAATGGAGAAAAGTTATGATCACCTCAAAATGTCATAAAAGTATTATCTGAATGACACAAGGAAGACAACATTTTCCTATTAGGGTAAAAAATGGAAAGCAACAATAAGAATTTGTATTCACAATTTGAGCAGTCTAAAAGACAAAACTACCTTTCAAGTGGACAAACAAATCGTGCAAATTCCTGCAAAATTTCGTTATTATACTGTCGAAAAATGGCTTTTCTCCAGGATGCATTTTACCACCTGGTCTTGTGATGCAAGGGTCGTGGGGTGAAGAGCGTTGTCTAAATATGAATGGTTACTATGGTAATTACATCAGGTGAGAGAAAATAACTCCCGATAGGAACAATGAATCATTGACGTGCAAGATTATAATATGACCAGATTAAAATGTTCATAATTATATAATAAATAGTTAATTTAAACAAACTTGGCACACTTTCAGAGATAGTGCAAACCTTATCTGATGCCCTTGAGCGTTCTTTGGAAATCTAAAATATATAATACAAAGCACAAATACACAAAACAAGAAAATCAGTTTACCGGGCTACACATCGTCAATATATTTTTCTACTCCTTTCTGTAAAATAACTACCACGTCAGTTTCGTTTTTTACGGATCCGAACCACTTCGGACATTTGCGGGATATTATCGAACGGGTTTTTATTCAAATAGTATTTAAAGCTAATGAAGAAAATATTACTTGAAACATATAGGTCGGTTAGTTTTATTCAGATCCAGCTTATTTTTCGCACCTTTATCATAAGTATTAAAAAACGAATAATATCGTCAACGGACACGTCTATTGCGCACCTACGAAGACACTATACTTATGTAGATAATACCCAGCTATCTAAAAGTGCACACCGTGAAATGGCATTTGGTGTAGCAATCTGCTGAAAATATCACACGGTATAAGCGAGGGCAAAAACATCTCCGCCGCCGCGTATGTAAAATTTTGCCCGCAATTTCATCGTAGAGTTAACGTCTCTCATAAATGCAAAATTGCTCTTTATTCGCCCTTATGGGTACATGCGCGCGATGGCCTTGCGAGTCAGCCATCCCAGCGGAATTCTTTTCTATTAATAATTATAATCGTATTCGTTTTGCCCGAAGATCTTTTTCCCGCGATTTTATTTGCGTTAGAAACGGTGTCAAGAGAGAAAGATAGTTTGTAATGCAAATCGGTTGGAAACTGCTTTAATAAATAGGAATTTGAAGACATTGAAATATAATTTGGACAAAATAGGCGATAATTAAAATCATCCAGCTTTGGAATATTATCAGAAGTCATATTATTGATATTCACAATTTCATTTCGAATGCTGTTTAATGAAAAAAATACAACAAAATACAATAACATGGCATTACATGGCATCCGCGGCCGAAAACCGCAGTTTTAGGAAAAATCCGACGTTAAGAAATGTTTCGATGGCGTGGAATAATAACCATTTACATTAGTTGCCCAGCCATAAATACTAAAGAATTTTTCTATACAACACTGCATAAATACGGTTGACAATCTTAGGGAATTGCTAGGGAATTATATTCCCAAATCAATGTTCCCAAAGCAAGTGGATATTGGAATTTTCTAATACCCAACACAATTACAATCAGATCAAGTTATGAGACTCTTAACAATTTTAAACTTTTCTAGTTGTTGATATCTTAATATGCAGTTCTCTTATTTAAACTTATGATGTTAAATCAGTGTTGTTTTACATTAAAAAATGAATATAAGAAATGCATGGTTTTGTTTTTTTTTTTTTGAAAATTAATAGTTCTGGTTAGTTTTGCTTATCTTTAGGACCTCCTGTCCTCTGTGTCATTATCTGAACATTGATTGATCTCAATTTATGTGCATTTAAAAACTTGGAGATCAATAACTTTATGAATATATTAGATAATGGCTCATTAGGAAATAGACTGTACAAAATGAGACATAATATTTTATCAAAGTAAAAAAAAAGTCGTTGTAAAGTCAACTTTTATTAGAAATACACGCAGAAACGAAGGTCGTATGTAAAACGTATACGTGGAAAAAAATGTCGGTTATTATAAACGCTAGCAGGAAAAATTATTACAAAATTTAATTAAGCGGGTAAATAACCACGACAGCGTAATTGTGCGCTTTGAGTTAATCATCTCCCGCGAGAATTAATAATGTCAAAACCCAAAATGGATGCCGTTGCGAAGCTACACGTAAAAAAAACGTAATTTACGCTCAAACGATCGTTTAAAAATTAAAAGTTGAAACGATTGTTTATATATTTAAAATTCCACACCGTAACCAGATCCTATAATCATTGAACAATAAAACTAAATAATACATTAGCTACATAGTTGACTTTTACAATTAGCATTAAATGTGTAAATTTAATAAATGTAATGCTTTATTGCCGTTCGAGGTAAATTATGTACCTTTCCGTCATTTATCTAAACGAGAATTACTATCGCGTTTTTTATTTCGGATTTCATGATCGATTAACTGCCACATGTTTCGCGAGAAAATAATAGTCTTATAGTTGATCACGTCAAAAGAAAGTCGCTTGTTCAATAATGATATCCCTTCCTATAAATAAATTTAAAACGTTATAAGAGCATTAAATGAATCGAATTGTGGTATAGTAATATAAGAAAAAGAAATGATCGGAGCACTCTCAAATGAGAAAGATTTACACATGAGATATATTAAAAATAAATTAAAACGGTTTTTCGAAACGAAATTTAGAAAAAAAAGATACTTTCCATTCGACAAAAATTTTGTTAGTATTAGCAGCTACAGAAGGGTTAATTTAACTTTATGAATTAGAAGTTTCATTTGTTCATTTAAAGGAATTCCTACTAAAATCAATCATAAAGGAACTTTTGTGCTCCCGTCTGTAATACCTAATTACACACCGATCTAGCGTGGGGGAAGCGTCACTTTACACGTCAGTTTTATTTCCCACGGATCCGAGCCACTTCGGACATTTCCGGGATTTTACAGCACAGGTTTGGAAGCAATCGGAAATTCCGAACAAAATTACATTCATCCAGGTGATAGAATATATATATATATATATATATATATATATATATATATATATATATATATATATATATATATATATATATATATATATATATATATAAACCCAACCAAAACTAACCAAAGCTATTTCAAGTTAAAATCTCTTGTCCTCCGCATTATTTTTTTAATGTGTAATGTAAAACTCTTAAGGTACTAAAGAAATTGATATTTGATATTAAAAAAAAAAATTAAAAAGCTTACCACTAATAATTGCTGCCTCTATTTAAAATGATATTAATAAATATAAGATATTAAAGATTTACTCCCTATAATTTTTAATCAGAAAGTGAAAGCCCTCCTGCTACATATGATATCCATCCATTTAATTTTTGATATTTGAAACTATGTGCATAGATATTCACAGAAAAATATGTCTATGTACTTTTTCTTATCCTTCTTGAATTAGAAGTGTTGGATCATATTCCGGATACGCCGAGAAAATTTCCTACTTCTGACTCGGCTAAACTAACGAATATTTTTATTAAATAAATTTAACGAATTGAACTTATTTCTTCCACTATTTACCACCATTTACAAGGCTAATAAAAGGTAAATAATTACATATTTGCATCTTTTTTTCTTTTTTACTTTTACTTTAGTTCACTTCACTTTAAGTTCGCAACCAGCTAAATTTTCTCCACCGAGAAAACCATTTACATTTTCACTGATATCAATCTATGTTGTTCTTTGTTACATTTCCCCATCTTTTTATTTCTTTAACAGCCTGTTTTTTTTTGTATGACAGTAAGGACTAAAAATGGAGTCTTACTTCAATTTAGTCCACTTATATTTCCAACCGCTTAAATTGTCCCGGTGCACAATTCGCTATTTCTAATGCCATTTGGCCCCATGATGTTTCCCTAAATTTTGAAAATATTTGAACCAGCCGGAGGTTCCGCGTCTAATCAATCATCGATGTCTCCAGCGACCGACGACACTTTCGCTCATCCGGAAACGACCGATCTTGGCGTCGCGTATTAAAGGACCGTCACCATCAGTCCGCGAGCATCATCGAAAAAGTGGGGGGAAAAAAGGGCAAAAGTACTTACCGCAACGAAGACGATAATAGATAGAGACCGCGAACGCACGCGTTTGCCTATTGAAAAGGAGAAGTAGCAAACGTACCGAAGTCCACTTGTTGACTGAGTACGCGACGCGAAGACCGACCGAAGGAGTCGAACTATTCTCCGCGAAAGAACTGTTTTCTCTCTAGGTCATAAAATATTCAGCTGGTCGGGTCTTTATTGTCTGCACGTTGTCGGTGACGGGGTCGCGTGTCGCAGTATTACGCGGAGGGTTTTTTTTTGCGTAAGTTTTGACGACGATTGTCTCATGTGAACGCAGCACGCCTGTGTAGCGTTAAGATTAGAGATCGCGCGTGGGGTGGCGACCAAATCGCGAAGTGAATTGTTCATTATGGCACATGGCATTAACGGGCAAGGTTTTGCATCGCAGGGGGCCTTCCGCTAAACAACCTCCTTATCGGCGCTATCTTGTGCCGATGTGGCCATTTTTGCCGCCAAAAACCATATAATTCAACAAGTTTTGGTCTTTTAGCGCGTTTTTTGTAGTGTTTTAACGAGTACAATATAAGGGATTTTTTTAGAGGTATAGAACTTTAAGTTGGCAACACTTTTTTCACTGGCGGCCATTTTATCAGCTGTCAAGTGATTTATGTTCAGTTTGGTTTGCCATTTCAACATAAGTAAAGTGAAGCCTGAACAAAGTTTCCAAATTGTGCAAATTTATTTTGAAACTCATGGTTTTGTTCGAAATCTGTATCGCGCACTACGTCCATTTTAAGGTCAAAATAATCGTCAATCAGAGCAATTAATGGATACGTCAATTAAAAGAACTTAAAGGTATGTCGAGTCACCGTTACATCCAGAAAAACTAACAGCTTGTTGTGCTTTATGGGGGGCTAGTGGAATAATTGGTCCGTACTTCTTTAAAACCAATGCTGGCCAGAAAGTTACAGTCAATAGTGACCGCTATTGAGCAACGATTACTGACTTTTTTGTCCATCAATTCAGCAACTATGACATGAAGGAGCTGTGGTTTCATCAAAACGGCGAAATATCCCCCAATTGATTTATTGAAGGAAACGTTCACGTTTCCGACCCGTGAATTGGACTTCACGATGGTACGATTTAACGCCGCTAGACTACGTTCTGTGCATATGTAAAGTCGGTAGTCTACGCCGATAAGCCCAAAAAGATTGACTACTTAAAGGACAACATCCGCCGGAGTTATTGCCAATAAACGGCCACAAATGTTAGAAAATGTCATTGAAAATTGGACCTTCAGATTAGACTACGTCCGATTCAGAGGAAGTCACATTTAAATTACATAGCCAAAAAATTATCTTTCGAATAAAGCAAATTTTATGTCAACTTAAAAAAATCATTTTTGTTTCCTTTTTGAGAAATGTTTTCTAGTATAATGCTTTGCGATATCTTCCGATCCATTATGCCCACACACCTTTACTCCCTCCCTAGTAAAGCCCTGTACTCTCTTTAATGAGAAGTTTGGATAGTTCCTTCTCTTCTAAGTACAGGCTATATGTGCTGTCGTTAGTTTTGGACTCGCTCATTCTATTCCAAAGGAACGCTCCGGTTAGTCTGTCAAGTAACGGTCCCGAACTCATCTTCAGACAGGTAAGAACAGTATGGTGTATGAAAGCATATCGGTGATATCTTCACTTCCGACCAAGATATAGGACGTTTCTCAATTGTCGGCCTTTTAAAGAATTGTTTTTATGGAAACTCCCAATTTGGATAAAAATTCCCCGAGTCAAATGCTACAGCGTACTCAGATTTTGTTGTAGAATTCCTCGCTGCCTCGAAAATGACTTTATTATCTGAAAATCGTAGTAGGTTATGGCCTTAAAGAAATGCCAGTGTTGAGCCCTAAATCATGTATGGTTGCTGATGTAAAAAATACCTGACATAAGGCATTTTTCATTTATGTACAATTAGGTCGTGCATATAGATATCAGTGTTAAACTTAAGTTTTAAGTTTATTCAGAAAAGATGCTAAAAACGCACAATTTTAGCATTAAAAACCTTTATTGCGAAAGTGGTTAAAGAAAAAACATGTTTTCAAATATCTAAAACTTTCAAAATGATTTTTCTCTGAAATCCACATAGTAAGTGTACCAAGCTACCAAGTACTTAAAAGTTAAGCTTTGTTCGAAAAATTTTAGTTAAACAATTTTTGACGTATCTACTAAAATGAAGGGGTGTTTAATTTTCAACTCTAAGTGCTCTCTAAGCTTGCAAAAACCATTTATTGCTGCTTCAAACCCATCTTACTTATCTTAATGATGTGACTAGAACGCGAAAGGATTATAAAAAAATTCTTATAATAAGTGTAAGTTCTTAAAACTATTAAAATGCGTTTTATAATGATGTATATGATATATTTTAAATGTCTTCGACTGTTGTAAATAGAAGACAAGAAATCCGCCTAACGAAAAGCATCCTATTTGGAAACGAGTTACGAAAGGCTAATAACAAACACTAAATTTTGTTATTTTCAGCACAACACAAATTACTTCGCTACCACAATTTTGAAGAACTATCTTCTTCTAAAGTTAAGTTGAGTTCTTACATAGATTCCAAATTAGCTTGGCATCCCAAGACATTCCGAAATATCATATCTAGTTTAAATGTTTGCCTTCTAAGTATTTAATGAAAAAGTCATCAACGTATATGAAATTTGCATCGCAAAAGTGTCCACGCAATAATATTGATTGTACTGTGATACTCATTCAATTACTGAATTGAAATACTGCAAAATATCTTTATTACCGCCCCAAGGTTTCGAGTAGTTTCATTTGTAAGCACAACTTTAGAACAATTATTTAAGAGTAGTGATTTCGACATCGCACATATTTAACAGCTTCGCGAATATTATATCGTTAATCCCATCATTTTTACTTTTGCAGAACACACATTTAATACAATACTAGTAAGTCTTCCGACACTATTTAAATAAATTTTTAACTTTTGTAAGAATTTCGCAAATCCATATATTTTTCGGAAATTTCGTAAAAAACCGTATCTCTTGGTTAGTTTTAATTGGTTTGTTTCGTAAAAAAGTGTAAATTCCTAATTTTCTTAAAGTCCACAAAATTATTACAAAGTCTTATGAAAAGTAGCGTAAATTTAAAAGTCTATATATTCACAATTACAAAAAAAACATTTACTTCTACAAAATTTTGCAAAAAAAATGAAAATCAACGAGGGCTTGCCAAATCTTGTAAGAAATGAAAATTTTAATTATATTACGATTTTTCGCAAGTCTACTCAACTTATTAGAAAAAATTCTGTAAAAAAAAGTGTAAATTGCCAAAATATCTAAAATTCGTATCTTTTTACACAAACAATTTTGGATTTCGTAAGAAGTTCGTAAATTGACACTGTCAATTAACAAAACTTATTACGAAATTCTATAAAAAAAAATATGGAAAAATGTAAAAGTTCGTGAATTAAAACTTTTTTAAAACATCTAAAAGGTCATAAAACCCGTAAATCCAGAAAACGTATTATAGAAGTATTACGAAATTTTGTGAAAAATGTGAGAATTTCGCAAAATCTGTGTGTGTGTGTATGTGTTTCATTTTCTTAATAGCTTTGCCAATTCGCAATTTTTTACAAAAAATATGAATTTCAGACTTTGCTTATCACACGACAATGCCGAAAGTTACAACGTACTTGAAAATTTTAAATTAATATTCTGAAATACTAAAAACTTCTAGTATAAGGGGCGTGGTTAATTTGCATTTTTCAATTATAAACGACATGGCGTAATTTTTCACCGAAACACAATATAAGCGTTTTCGATTTTGTGTAAACCCGCACGGCAATACTACAACAGTAAAAGAATTTATTGTTCTATATTTAGTGCATTTCTCTCGCTCCTTCAGATTGCTTTTACTCGCACCTTGCGAGCGAACGTTAAACCGTTAACGCACAACAATAACCATTTTGTGCTTTAATTAACCCGAGAAAATTACTATGCAACCGCGCTTGTTGGAGCAATTAACATTTTTTGAGTAATTACATTTTTCGGTCTTCGAAAATTTTCTCCCAACCACAAAAACTATTTATTTCAAAGATCACCAAAGCACTTCCTGAATTGTAATAATAATGAGGTTACGTGTAATAAATTATGTGAAACAACGATTAAGAGAATTGAAGGTCGATCGGTGTTAAAGGCAACGCGCTAGAATAAAAAAAAAACGATTATTGTTAATTATAGGATTGTTTTTGGTCGGCCTTTCCAATTGTGAGTCTGGTCCACTGCAATGCTTTGAAAATCACGTGGAAGCGGTTGCTTTTAACGTACTCTGAAAAAACAAATTAGAGGATTAAAATCATTAAATTTAACCTAAAAAATTGCATTCAGTTTGCGATTTTATTTTTCGATAGTGGCGCTGACAACAGTAAACAAACGTGGCCGTTGTAAGTATTCCATATTGTTTAAATATTACCTTTAACCAGCTCATTCTTCCTGTACAAGCGACCCTAAAGCTTCGCTCTGTTATCAGTGTGTGGTTTGTCGCAAATGACTCAATGCAATCCTTTTTTATCAGATTTAAAGTGTAATGTGGAAGCCCTAGTTTTGTATAAAACGAAGCCATATTAAATGCAAAACATGTCGTTGTAATTAGGTATACTACAGGAACCGATAACGTACCTCCATATTAACAAAATTAAAACCACTCCCTATGAAATTAATTAAATATTCTAAAAGGCAAGTGTCCATAAATCAAGTGGTTTGCAGTTGTAGAGCTGGTTTGTCAGTAAGTTGTAAGTATTTTAGAATGATTTTTTTTTACAATAAAAGCTATTAATTAATGTTTTTGAGTGACGTCCCTCAACGTCTTTTGCGTTTGATTTCGAAACCGGTGAGCTTTTTCCCCAACACCAAACGGACTATTTTTTGAAGCAAACATGAAACTCATATGAAAACAATGTCGCTATTTCAAATTTTAACTCCGCAGTAGCTTCATATTTTATGTAAATGTAAAATCGCAAATACGGGTGAAATTAGAGTTCTTCGCCAGGCAATGAAGCAATGAAGTCCCATCGGAAACGCATCATTGATATAGAGGAAATATGCTATACGATCGAATTAATTAAT